ATGTTGTACCACAAAAAAGCATTCTAAACGCACTCAAAACCTGAACTTTGCATTATCTACACCCGGAGGACAGTCCAATGCAGCCTGCTAGAATTATTAAAAATGGTTCTGAACGGTCCAAGAATGCCATTTTGATGATCCAAATATCGCCTAAAATGCATTTATTGCACTTATGTTGTACCACAAAAAAGCATTCTAAACGCACTCAAAACCTGAACTTTGCATAATCTACACCCGGGGGACAGTCCAATGCAGCCTGCTAGAGTTATTAAAAATGGTTCTGAACGGTCAAAGAATGCCATTTTGATGATCCAAATATCGCCTAAAATGCATTTATTGCACTTCTGTTGTACCACAAAAAAGCATTCTAAACGCACTCAAAACCCGAAATTTGCATTATGTACACCCGGGGGACAGTCCAATGCAGCCTGCTAGAGTTATTAAAAATGGTTCTGAACGGTCAAAGAATGCCATTTTGATGATCCAAATATCGCCTAAAATGCATTTATTGCACTTATGTTGTACCACAAAAAAGCATTCTAAACGCACTCAAAACCCGAAATTTGCATTATCTACACCCGGGGGACAGTCCAATGCAGCCTGCTAGAGTTATAAAAATGGTTCTGAATGGTTAAAGAATGCCATTTTGATGATCCAAACATCGCCTAAAATGCATTTATTGCACTTCTGTTGTACCACAAAAAAGCATTCTAAACTCACTCAAAACCCGGAATTCGCATTATATACACCCGCGGGACAGTCCAATGCAGCCTACTAGAATCATTTAAAATGGTTCTGAGCGGTCAAAGAATGCCATTTTGATGATCCAAATATCGCCTAAAATGCATTTATTGCACTTCTGTTGTACCACAAAAAAGCATTCTAAACTCACTCAAAACCCGAAATTTGCATTATGTACACCCGGGGGACAGTCCAATGCAGCCTGCTAGAGTTATTAAAAATGGTTCTGAACGGTCAAAGAATGCCATTTTGATGATCCAAATATCGCCTAAAATGCATTTATTGCACTTATGTTGTACCACAAAAAAGCATTCTAAACGCACTCAAAACCTGAACTTTGCATAATCTACACCCGGGGGACAGTCCAATGCAGCCTGCTAGAGTTATTAAAAATGGTTCTGAACGGTCAAAGAATGCCATTTTGATGATCCAAATATCGCCTAAAATGCATTTATTGCACTTCTGTTGTACCACAAAAAAGCATTCTAAACTCACTCAAAACCCGAAATTTGCATTATGTACACCCGGGGGACAGTCCAATGCAGCCTGCTAGAGTTATTAAAAATGGTTCTGAACGGTCAAAGAATGCCATTTTGATGATCCAAATATCGCCTAAAATGCATTTATTGCACTTATGTTGTACCACAAAAAAGCATTCTAAACGCACTCAAAACCTGAACTTTGCATTATCTACACCCGGAGGACAGTCCAATGCAGCCTGCTAGAATTATTAAAAATGGTTCTGAACGGTCCAAGAATGCCATTTTGATGATCCAAATATCGCCTAAAATGCATTTATTGCACTTATGTTGTACCACAAAAAAGCATTCTAAACGCACTCAAAACCCGAAATTTGCATTATCTACACCCGGGGGACAGTCCAATGCAGCCTGCTAGAGTTATAAAAATGGTTCTGAATGGTTAAAGAATGCCATTTTGATGATCCAAACATCGCCTAAAATGCATTTATTGCACTTCTGTTGTACCACAAAAAAGCATTCTAAACTCACTCAAAACCCGGAATTCGCATTATATACACCCGCGGGACAGTCCAATGCAGCCTACTAGAATCATTTAAAATGGTTCTGAGCGGTCAAAGAATGCCATTTTGATGATCCAAATATCGCCTAAAATGCATTTATTGCACTTCTGTTGTACCACAAAAAAGCATTCTAAACTCACTCAAAACCCGAAATTTGCATTATGTACACCCGGGGGACAGTCCAATGCAGCCTGCTAGAGTTATTAAAAATGGTTCTGAACGGTCAAAGAATGCCATTTTGATGATCCAAATATCGCCTAAAATGCATTTATTGCACTTATGTTGTACCACAAAAAAGCATTCTAAACGCACTCAAAACCTGAACTTTGCATTATCTACACCCGGAGGACAGTCCAATGCAGCCTGCTAGAATTATTAAAAATGGTTCTGAACGGTCCAAGAATGCCATTTTGATGATCCAAATATCGCCTAAAATGCATTTATTGCACTTATGTTGTACCACAAAAAAGCATTCTAAACGCACTCAAAACCCGAAATTTGCATTATCTACACCCGGGGGACAGTCCAATGCAGCCTGCTAGAGTTATAAAAATGGTTCTGAATGGTTAAAGAATGCCATTTTGATGATCCAAACATCGCCTAAAATGCATTTATTGCACTTCTGTTGTACCACAAAAAAGCATTCTAAACTCACTCAAAACCCGGAATTCGCATTATATACACCCGCGGGACAGTCCAATGCAGCCTACTAGAATCATTTAAAATGGTTCTGAGCGGTCAAAGAATGCCATTTTGATGATCCAAATATCGCCTAAAATGCATTTATTGCACTTCTGTTGTACCACAAAAAAGCATTCTAAACTCACTCAAAACCCGAAATTTGCATTATGTACACCCGGGGGACAGTCCAATGCAGCCTGCTAGAGTTATTAAAAATGGTTCTGAACGGTCAAAGAATGCCATTTTGATGATCCAAATATCGCCTAAAATGCATTTATTGCACTTATGTTGTACCACAAAAAAGCATTCTAAACGCACTCAAAACCCGGATTTTGCATTATGTACACCCGCGGGACTGTCCAATTCAGCCTGCTAGAATCATTAAAAATGGTTCTGAATGGTTAAAGAATGCCATTTTGATGATCCAAACATCGCCTAATATGCATTTATTGCACTTCTGTTGTACCACAAAAAATGATTCTAAACGCACTCAAAACCCGAAATTTGCATTATGTACACCCGCGGGACAGTCCAATGCAGCCTGCTAGAGTTATAAAAATGGTTCTGAATGGTTAAAGAATGCCATTTTGATGATCCAAACATCGCCTAAAATGCATTTATTGCACTTCTGTTGTACCACAAAAAAGCATTCTAAACTCACTCAAAACCCGAAATTTGCATTATGTACACCCGGGGGACAGTCCAATGCAGCCTGCTAGAGTTATTAAAAATGGTTCTGAACGGTCAAAGAATGCCATTTTGATGATCCAAATATCGCCTAAAATGCATTTATTGCACTTATGTTGTACCACAAAAAAGCATTCTAAACGCACTCAAAACCTGAACTTTGCATAATCTACACCCGGGGGACAGTCCAATGCAGCCTGCTAGAGTTATTAAAAATGGTTCTGAACGGTCAAAGAATGCCATTTTGATGATCCAAATATCGCCTAAAATGCATTTATTGCACTTCTGTTGTACCACAAAAAAGCATTCTAAACGCACTCAAAACCCGAAATTTGCATTATGTACACCCGGGGGACAGTCCAATGCAGCCTGCTAGAGTTATTAAAAATGGTTCTGAACGGTCAAAGAATGCCATTTTGATGATCCAAATATCGCCTAAAATGCATTTATTGCACTTATGTTGTACCACAAAAAAGCATTCTAAACGCACTCAAAACCTGAACTTTGCATTATCTACACCCGGAGGACAGTCCAATGCAGCCTGCTAGAGTTATTAAAAATGGTTCTGAACGGTCCAAGAATGCCATTTTGATGATCCAAATATCGCCTAAAATGCATTTATTGCACTTATGTTGTACCACAAAAAAGCATTCTAAACGCACTCAAAACCCGAAATTTGCATTATCTACACCCGGGGGACAGTCCAATGCAGCCTGCTAGAATCATTAAAAATGGTTCTGAACGGTCAAAGAATGCCATTTTGATGATCCAAACATCGCCGTTTCATTTTTCTGAACGGACCTAAAGTTGTCAAAAGTTTCCTGATGTTGTCGGAACTTCTTTCAAGTTTATGGAACTGCCCTGAAATTATCATAAATTTTCCGAAGCTATTTGAACTTTCCGAAAGTTTTCGGAAATTTCGATAAAACTCCGAAATGTTGATGAAATTAAAGGAACTATCGTAAAGTTCTCTGATGTTCCAAGTCTTCAAAAATTTACTGAAGTTTTATGGAACTGCACTGATGTTCTCGAAACCTACTTAGATCTTTACTTCAAACTCCCCTCAATTTGTTATAATTTATCTAATTCAATTTCTATAATATGTTCCAACATAATTTCATCATCGATTATAAAAAATACTCTTAATATACTCAAATACGACATTCTAGTCTCTAAAAAAATGAATACAATCGACAAAACTTCCAAAAATTTGCATACAAGCATATGCAAAATGAATTGTCTACCTTGGCAAAAAATACCATACATCGTAGATTCTCAAAAAATCGCAAAATTGCCTACCTTAGATCATTTGTTAGAACCCTAATCTTCCCAACAGAATAAAACATTCTGCCCGGAAATGCCGGAACATTAACAAAAATACCTTTCAAACATATACACATAAGCAAAAATCGTGACTTACTTCTACCTTGGTAATTATTATGTTTGCGCTTTGAAATTCATTGCTTCTAGGGTTCAACATATTCTACATACCTATATCTTAAAGATCCATTCGAAATCAGCATGATGCTTAGCTTAAAATTCGGGAAAACTTTCGAGAGAACTTTCTTTATTTACAAACGAAATTTCGACATGCAACTAACAGCAGAACTTTGACAGCTGACAACGGGATTAAAAACAAAACAAAGGAACCCAAAATGGCTGGCTAGGCAGCTTTTTGAGTTTTGCCATTTTGGCCAGCTTTCTTGCCCAGGACCTGATTTTAAATCGATGGAAATCTTGGTGGAGCAAAATCGATATTTTGAACCACTCTAAAAGGCGCGTATTCGCAATACCATCTAGAATTTGTGATAATTTCGGTGAATAACTATGCGGACTACGCTCAACTCACCCTCTCGTCGGATCCATCCGGGCAGTCCGGTTCCCCGTCGCAGCGCCACTTGGACGTGATGCAGTAGTTCTCCGAGCAGGCGAACTGCTTCAGTGGATCGCACGTCGTCGCTTGGCAACCCTTCTCGTCACTGTTGTCACCGCAGTCGTCGTCCCGATCGCACTGCCACCGCTTCTGGATGCACCGTCCGTTGGCGCAGGTGAACTCGTCCGAGCGGCAGGTTTCATCTGGCGGAAGGAAGAGGGGGGGAAACGTCAGCTTTTGTTGCCTAATTGACATTTACAGCGTAAATTCACCAAAAGTCGAATGGAAAATCTCATTAATTAAAAGTTGAGGTTACGTTTCGGATACAAGCGATTCGGAAAGACGTGACAGCTAATCGGTTTGATAGCTGCCAAACCCGGATCACGACTGTGACAGCGATAACTTTTTGCGTACATTACGGGCGCCCCATCGTGAAATTTACTCCCTCCCCATAAAGAGGGTCAAGTGCTTTGTGGGTAGATAATGTTGCGCTTCTTTTGTTAGGCAGGAAATAATAAGTGGTCAGACAATATTTTCTATCGTTCGATTGTAAACAACCGAAAATAATGGTTGTCCCACTAGGCGAATGGCAAGGGTCTAGGCAACCCTTTTCTCGGCATTATATTTCCTAGTCCGCCCGGAAAACCCCCATTCAATTTGGACAGGAAATGTACCGTGAAAGAGTGTGCTCATATGCATAAGAGAATTCCTTCTGGCCGCCCAGGAAAAAAAAAAACGGAAATAAATTCACTAGAAATGTCTATCGCCATACCTTCCCCCCCATCGAACCGGTTGATCATCAACCGACATCCGGTACAGTGAAGCATACGGTTAAATAACGACCAATCGATGTGTTGCTTTCGGTGCTATAATTGTCTACCTTTAGGCGCGGAAGCCTATCCCCAAAGGAACTGCCTATTCGGATTCGAACCGCTAACGAGTGCGCCGGAAAGATGTTTGTTTGAAAATAATCAACCTAGCTCGTTCGTCGTAGCTGACCGGGTTATGCTCCAGGAAAAGCTTCGTTATAGCTTTGTCCGTATGTCAGTGCAACCATGGCAATCTGTGCAATCCGAGCAGGCTCTGACGAACGGACGGAGAAAAAAAAACAGCATTCGCCTCGAGCACATACTTGCAGGCGGAAATGATATTCAAATATCAAAGCAAAAGCGGCCACGGTGGCCGTCTCGCCAGTCGTAGCAGTCCACCGAAGGCGATGCGGAAATAGAGTAGGATCCTATGTGTAGCAGCGGAAAGGGAGACGGAAAAAAGTTGGTCTTAGTTTTTTTTTGTCAGGGCTCCTACTTTTGAGCAAACAACATCAACAACTCGGCCGCCATGCCGCACCATCCCGGGAAGGCGATGGAGGGAAGCATTCCGGTTCGGGCGTTAAGTGGTGGATAGTGTAGAAAGGACGACTACGGACACGGTTCTGCTGCGTTGAAGCATTATTTTTATTCAATTTTGTATACCTTCTCTAGTGTGTGTGTGTGGAGGAGGAGGAACATGGCAGCATCACCGTTTCCAACTTTCGTTGTCCAAACAAACATGTGCCTCATTTGGACTTGGCACCCTACTAGTAGTAGGCGGTGGATGATGGGAAGGAGACGACGCTAGATGGCGTTGATAAACGGCATGATGTTCAAAGCTTTATGGAGATTTTTGCCTCCTCGGCACTCGGTGTTGATGATGAAAATCAGGTTAGGTTCATTTTTGCCTTGGGGCTAAAATGGGAAATGAGACGGAAGTTTTCGCTTTGCGTCCATGTTGATAGGGTTTGTTTGTTGTTTTCGTGCAGAGATGGTGTAGTAGACTGCTCACGTTTCACATAAACTGGTTAAATATCCACGTGCACGGTGACAGATGAGTGATGTTTATGTATTAAGTTGAGTAAAAGAATGACGTAAAACCGGCACTAGGTACGGCAAATACCGAAGGAACACGTGTTTCATCAAGATATAGCTTGTGAGCAGAGATGCCGGATTCGAATCAATGTCTTCATTCTCCATGTCATTTGAAGATCTGGGAAGACATTTTATTTTCGCAGACATTTTGAAGACCTTTGATGACATATGAAGATATGTTTTCATACATGATAACATTTTGTCTTCAAATTTCAAACAGTTTTTTAAGACATGGTTATTTTGAGCAAAAGCGTAGCCAAGTTAAAAAAACACTGAGAAATATCTAGAATTAAGCGATCAAACTTCATAAAAAGAGAAATCAGTATTGGAAATTCTGCACAAATTGGAAAACTAATTTGAAGTCTGCAATATTTAATTTTTGCTCAGTGTGGAGAATCATGAAAACTTTTAACATCCTTCAGTTTCAAAAATTGAAGTATAAGATTTGAAAAATATGTGGAGTTTAGTTTTAAGTTGTACACACTTAATTTAGTTTGCCTTATCTCGGAATTTTTTGCAGAGATTTGCAATGTCGAGTTTCGGAAAATGTTTTGCTGAATCTCAACAAACAAACGTCACGTTTGCTGAGATCTCAGTAAAATTTAATGCCGTGCACGCGGCTGTGCAAATCTCGGCCCAAAATTGCCGAGCTGACGAACACAAAACTAAGAGTGTAAAGTAAAAAGTCTAGCATTTCAAATACCTGACTCCTTCTTTATGAACTGATCTCTTCTTAGTGCATTTTCAGTCTCGTAGCCGTTCGACGACGACAGGTTTTCTTTCGCTAGAGTGACGTTTATTGGATCCGTGTCTTTGCACGGATGTGTGCAAAGTGTGCTTCTGATTTTCATTGTCTCCCGGGAGGCCGGTTCATTCCCATTAGCTACGCCAATGATGATTACCCATAACAAATAATTATGCGTAGTTTCATGCAAATCGGGAAAGGTCGAGTCTGATGGATTTGGTTCAAAATCTAATCAAGATTTTTTTCAAGAATTTCCTTAGAATTGTAAAGGTTGAGCAGTTGGGCACACTCATTGGTACTGTTTGGCACACATGGTTATAATTGTTCATGATATTTAAATTTCCTGGCAACACTGCACTGCCTCTGTGTATAAGTGTCAGTCAAGTCATTGTTTATATCTTTCGCATCATCTATTTTCTTGAAAGTCGGCTGGTTCGCCTTGGGAGCTTTGCTTATTATTTCTGCTTGCTGCTTCAAGAAAATGCTGAAGCTATTCAACTATTCGATGATGTGATTTCCATTCTGGATAAACATTTCAAATTCGATGAAGACAATCGATCAAAGCAGATAGGACCTTTTGAAATGTTCATCGAGCATTGTCATTGTGCAGAAGGGTAAGAAGCAGCCATATGAAAAAAAAGACCACGATACCACACAATACTTCATTCTTTGGATAACCTCCAGGACAGGTACCGGAAGCTAACGGATACAATATGTAGGTGGATTTGGCGTTGCACTTCATCAACTATTTCTTCACTAAGATGTCGGGTCAGTTATTAGTAAGACCATATCAAAGGTCAGTGGGAAGTGATTCTAAAGGAAATCCTGAAGCCAGAAGTATATATTTTTGAGGAGGTGCAAGCAGATTAGACCATTAACAGGCTGAGCGTACGGTCCAGGAGATAAGCGAGCATCTGGAAGTAGCATGTAAGATGCAGAGCGTCTTGAAGCATCAGAAGGAGGGTTTGCGGATGCAGGGGGAAATGTCGCAGTTTGGAGGCTATTTGATGAAAACATAATGACCCAAAATGGGCTCCAGAAAGTGTTGGATATATTAACTGTGGATTTGAGAGATACTACTAGACTATCAGCACAGAGGTAACTCAAGGCGTCACATTCCTAGCTAGAGCTATCGAACGGTTATTCTTACTTTCCGCCTTGGTGGAACTAACCCGACTGAAGGAAGGAAAACGGCTCAAACGTCGTTCAGTGAGCAGGTCCCCACAGTTGACGCCAGAACGGAAACAGCGTGATGATGAGGGAACCGTTGGAATTGAACGCGTTGCGCGCTTCGCGCTACAAGTTGCTACAATTTGAGGATGAATACTTGAAAACCATTTTCGGTTCTTGGCAGGAATTTGATTTGTAACAGTAAATGAAAACAATCAAACTGTCAAAATACCGGGTTGCCAAACATGCAACTTTTCACAAACAAGAAAAGTCATCACGATGCCATGGCATTGTCGGCACAGTTGCGGCACAGTGAGAAAAAAGTTGGCGTGTGTAGAGTGACTACCCCTTGGATGGAAAACCGAAAAATCCGGACACATTAAAAACGCAGCCATTAAGGCATTTTTCGAAATTTCACTGAATTCAGGTAAGCGTGTATCCAGAATTTTACGTGCGCTCATGGCCGCCACAACCTGGTTGAGCTGCTGGTAGGGAATATATGATTTGAAGTTTGGCTTGTGTCGTTTGACCTTTAAACGGTCAAATTTGATCGTTTATACGTCAAACGACCTAACCCAAACATCAAATCGAATGTTCCCTACCAGAAACTCAGTTAGATTGTGGTGGCCATCAGCGCTCGTAAAATGATGGATAGAATCACAGTACACTGTAAGAAAAGACCTGCCATATATCGAATGATTCGTCATACGGTGTGTTAAAAAATGCCGAATGAAACCAGCAACAAATGAAAAGGATGCCTAGCATACAGTGAAAATCATTTTTAAAGTAGATAATAATGGACATGAAACTTGTACGAATTAAAGATTGTTTCCGGAATGTACCAAACCAAACAAACATAACTCTAAATCTGAGAGATAAATATATCATCGAAGGACCATAACGAGAATCATTCATTTTCATAATGAACTGATTGTGTATGAAAACTGTGATTGAAAATGCAAAAAGTCGACAGCGACGTATCTGACAGACATGTTGAAAAGCACGTAACTTCAATTTTTCAAATTGTATTTTGAGTTTCTGTAGGCTGTTATCTTCAACGATGGGTATGTTTTAGATTAGTTTATACATCGGTTTACATTAAATTAATTAATATGGTTTCAATTTAAGATAATCACAGTGCAGATGATTGTTCGCCACATAATTGTGACGCCAAACACTGGAGGCCGAGTAAAGTTCCCAGCAGGAGATGCTCTACAACGATGCCATTCGGATGCGGGAAGGTGTCATGGACAGTTTCCTAGAGACACTGCAGACGGGATCGGTGTTCGGTAATCAGGATCAACGATAACGAGGGGGACCACGACCTGCGAGAGCGGAGCGGAGGGCGCAACTGGATCGAAGCCGATTGCGAACAGGAATCACA